ATCAAAAATGTATCCCAAATCTGTTTTCCTTATCTGCTGAACGACATTCTGGGAGGAGCTGCACGCGTTTTTTCCTGCTCCATTTCTTGCAAATGCTTGTCTAGCCGAACTATAGCAACGTCGTCGAGTGAATGGATGGCGCAGTGGTAAGTCTCCTGCCCCCCATTCTTTTATAACCGGGTTCGAATCCTGCGAGATTGGTTTGTTTTGCATTGTTGTTTTACAATTGCTGAAGATGTGTAAAGCAAATTGATGCATCTCTATTCCTTATTTTTTCAAAAAAATATAGGAAAATAGAATAACGGATGAGCACTTATCCCGCTCAGCTAACTTATCAATCAGCATTTTTTGTAGAAATAAAGGCTAGAGATGCATCAAGTTGCTCTACAAAAAATTCAGCAATTAAAAAATAGTAATGCAAAACAAACTTCTCTCGCAGGATTCGAACCCGGTCATAAAAGACTTGGGGGCAGGAGACTTACCACTGCGCCATCCATCCACTCGACGGCGCTGCTATAGTTCGGCTAGACAAGCATTTGCAAGAAATGGAGTAGGAAAAAACGCGTGGAGCTCCTCCCAGAATGTCGTTCAGCAGATAAGGAAAGCAGATTTGGGATACATTTTTAATAAAGATTCTTATGGTATACATCTCTTGGCGGATCGCCACTGCGACTCCGCATCCTTCCCTTGTAAGCACTAGTTAACTTGCCAAAGGTTGCTTAAACTTTAGTCCCGAAAGCAAGTCAGACCTATTTATGAGAAGTCTTCACTGTACCACTTTAATCAGACATACTTCAGGTCATTTTCTTCGTTGATAGAACTAATGAAAGATACTCAGTGGTCTGACCGAGTAGAGGAGCGTGAAGTGTTACAAAAAGATTCAATACATAAGACCGTATACTGGGGTGCAACAAATTCTAGAACTTTTCTAGAGAATATTAAAAGAATTACCAGTGAGTAAAGCCTTTTATGTGACTAAGGAAGAAATACTTATTTTTTAAGATCAAGAACAATTTGACTACGATCAACAACGCACGTACAGGAAGTCTAGAATTTAGCATGTATAATTCAAAAGGAACTTGGTTCAAATTTGAGGCTATTAATAGAATGAGACACTGATATAAATACTTGTATGGTGTGAGGAACTAGCTTTACTCCCGCCCTCTTATTCAAAGCATTACTTGTTTACAGTAGTGAATGTTTGAAAACGATAAATAATTTCGCTGAATAACGAACTGGCTAAATTTATGGTATTTAACAGAAGTGGACGCTAAGCGAAGGGGAATGCAATGGATTCCGGTCAAATAGTCCCATATATATCGACTTCCGATACAGTTAGAAGGCAGCTAGAGGAACTCACATGAAAGCTTATGA